CTGTGTGTGTGTGTGTGTGTGTGTGTGTGTGTGTGTGTGTGTGTGTGTGTGTGTGTGTGTGTGTGTGTGTGTGTGTGTGTGTGGGTGTCTTAGATAACCTTTTCAAGCCTAGAGAGAGGTCTATATCGAGTAGAGAGATGCAGCTGAGGTCCAGACGGTGAGTTCTCAGATCAAACCCGAGTCAGACATTGTCACTCTTCTTCTTGTTGCACTTTGCTTTTTTTTTTAATTCAGCACAATCCATCACCCTTGTTTGTCATATCTGGATGCATCCACACAATGCACATTCACACATATGCATGCTGTATAGATACAATAGATCTTTGACGCCCAAATGTCTTGGCAGGAGATATGAGCTTTCCTCTGTATATCTTATCTATTTTTTTTCTTCCCTTATCTGGAAAGGCACACCTGATCAGATGATGGCTGCCCATTGTAATTTTTTTTCAAAAGCAACATTATCTGGCTTGGAGGATCTCTTGACAAATTGGCTGTAGTTGCGGGAATGAAAAAGTAGTCTGAGCGAGACCTGTTTATCAATGGATCCAGGTTTTTCACTGGCTGTGGTCTCACTAGATAAAACCTCATCTCTAGTATGCCAGTCTGCTGGCATAGCTCAGCCACCCTCAAACTTCTGATACTATATTCCCCTGCTGCGTATGAATATGCGTTTTTCTGTCTGTAGGATTTACAACATGCTGCCAGAGGTGACAAAGAGAAAGGAGGAGGAAAAAAGAAGGGCTGTATCTCAAGCCAACAGACTGCGGGCCGAAGTCTTTAAAAAGGTAGTGCTTGGGTGATTTTGGTATAAAAATCAGTCCTGAACACTGATTATTGTGCATGAAAACTGTCAACATTAAAAATACTCCTGAAGTACAAAAGAAAACACAAGAAGGGTTGATCCAAAGGATGGCATGGTGGGGCACAGATTAGTATAGCGTCAACTCACAGCAAGAACATTTTGGATTGTGACCTGCTAGTCAGGTGGGAAGTCTTTGTTCTGGTTTTGGATAGCCTCACTTCCCCCACAGTTCAGCGACATTTGCGTGAAATTAATTAGTGTTTCTAATTTGGCTGCGGTTGTGAGGAACTCTCTGTGTTAGCCTACGGATGGACTGGCAACTAGTCCAGCATGTACCCTGCCTCTAGCTCAACTCCACCTGGGATAGGCTCCAGCCCCACTCTCTAGTTTGATAGTTGTACCCATACAACCCCAAAACTGCTCATTTTTAAATACATATTTTTTGCTGTTTAACATTACAGATGCAACAATGTATTGAACCGAATGCAAAGAACTGAAAACTGAGTTTGTACAGCTCTAACAAGCTTAAAAATTCAGTTTTTTGGTATGACCACCTTTATTCTTCAACACAGCCTTCACTCTTTTAGGTAAGCTTTCTTTGAATCGCTCTAAGTAGTCTTCAGGAATAGTTCTCCAGGTCTCTTGCTCTTTCTTGGATATTGGCTGCCTTTTGTTCTATTCTCTGTCAAGATGATCTCACATTGCTTCAACAATGTAGAAGCTCAAATGCTTGGAGGCCAATCCATGACACTTGTGTGTTTTTCTATCCAGCTATGCTTTTATTGTACTGGCAGTACCATTCAGATGCTTTCTGGATGGTATTGCATGGTGGATCAAAATCTAAAAGTACTGAAATGCATAGCGTACACTCTGTTTTACAGATGGAGACACTCACTGTTGTATCTCTCTCCTGACCCCCTCCATACATATTAACAATTTGAGACAAAGTGTAAAAATTTGGTTCATCACTCCATAAGACCTGTTGCCACTGATTTTCAATCCAATTTAATTGACATACATTAGTCTTGTCTCCCTGTTTTCCCTTTCTTTCTCACTGAGACCATTTGTAATCAGACTTTGTTGAAAAGTAGATTGTTGAGACGGTTGAAGGTGTAGGTCCACCTCTCAGGTCCTATAAATGTTTTTCACCAAACTTCTTTAGGTCATGATTTTCAGATACTACTGTAGTTTTTCAGAACTGCCACTTTCTCTTTTGTCCTCCAGTTGTCCAGTTTTCTCAATTTTTAAGGACACACTGCACATCATGCTGAGATATAACACATTTTCAGACAATAGCTCATTAGGATTTACCTTGTTGGTCCAAAAATACATGTTTATGCTTGTCAAATTGTGTTATCTTTGGCATTTTTCAATGAAAGAAACAAAGTATGACTTTAATGGCAGGTGTCAAGTAATAAAGTGCCTAAAGATATTATTTAAAATTGGTTCTTTGCAAAAATGTATACACAACCCTGGTTCATCCTTTGACTTAAGTGCCGTTTTGAATGAATCTTAGGTAAGTGTTAAGCTGCTGGACTGAAAATGAGTAAAAAAAAAAAAAAAAAGGCAGTCACCGTCCGCAGAAAAGCTTTTAAAGTCTTTCTGAGAGCGTGGAGAACTGTTGCTCAAGACCACTCAAAAAAAAATGTACAAGTCTGGCTCCTTTAAAGCAAAATATAAATAAATGAGGGGTGGCTCAAGACTTTTGCACAGTACTGTATACTCAAGTAATGTTTCAGTATTTTCAGTTGTATTTGACTGGATTAATTAATGGAAACATAAGCACACACAGCCAAAAAAAACAAGAGGCCAGTCATTCTTCAGCATGCTAACATGTTTTAGCATATTTCTCAGAAAAGCTAAAAGAAAACCATTTCACAGAAAAACCAACTTAAACAAAATATAATATATATGTTCAGATGTCTTTAACCATCTGCAATTGTATCTTGATTAATGAATATAGTGTCCGCATCTAAAAATGAAGCGTGGTTTGATCCTTGTCCACCAGAGGTCACTGCTCAACTGCTGATGTTTCTGTCGTTTCTCACTGTGGAGTATCGCCAGTGTATGAATTCAACATTAAGGTCTATCTAAACACAAATCCTCATATTTGCTTGAAATCTGTTATTTGCGGTGTGTTCAAAAATCAGAAAGCATTAAAGAACCTTCTTATCAGTCATGCCAGAACAAAATCATTACTGCATTACAGCTAAGCCTGTTTCATCCTTTACACAACCATGTCGTTTTGGCTTTCACTGCTACAGAAAAATCTAGCACTACAAAAGCTTATATCCATTAGGCAATGCTGACATGATGCAGCACAGCTGAAGGATGTGGAAGCATCCACATCCTTCAGCTGTTAGGGGCCTGTGGCGAATGAATGATATATTTAGGACATGCGGTGTCAGACAGATCCATTTGGCTTCCCTTATGATCGAGCCTTCAGTCTCTAACATAACCAGAACAATGAATTCACTGTCAGTCAGGTGAGATGTGAAAAATGTGAAGAGATGTCTCCAATCTCTTACAGATAATTACACAATTATGACAGTCTCGGTGTGTGTGTGTGTGTGTGCGCGCACAAAAGACAGACAGAGACAGAGAGAGAGAGCGAAACGGTGTGTGCACGTGTTTTTCCATGATCTTATTCAATATGAGCTAAAATTGAAAGGCTTATTTCTTCTTTGCCACTGTGTAGGCATGCTGGGAACCGTTTTGCCTTAGGCCTCCCTTTCATTTTTAAGAAAACTGTGAATCTACAGTAAATCACAGTCGTGTGGTTTACTGACACAGCGAGCAACTGTAGAAGAAAGTGTGATGTCAAATCGCTCTGTAAGAGAATATTTTATTTCCTGGTGAAATGGAGCAGTTATGATGCCAGTGTGACCTTCCCACCTCTCAAATGAAGCCATTAGCTGGGCCCAACCACAGAGACTGAGAGAAAAAGAGTGTGTTCACCCTAACAAACACTGTGTGCTTTAGAGGTTTCATTTCATCAGAAATTCTCCAACCCACACACACACACACACACATATACATGCACACACAGGGGGGAGCCCAGCTAAGACTCACAGCAGGGTCTGATAGCACAGTGTAGAGGGTGGCTGGTTGTGAATGCTGGCTGAAATTTCATTTCAGCTGTTGTGTAGTACTGTAAGAGAAGCATGATTGCATAGCAGGGGTGTATGGTCAGGAAGCAAGCTATAATTATTCCCCCTACCTGAGCTTAGCCTTCTCAGCAGTGAAGCTGATGGAAGTGAAAGCCAATTTGGCAGCCTGAGTCTTACCTGAGTGATGCTGAGCTGTTCTTAAAAGAGAAGGGAGGTCTAAGAGTAGACAGATATGTTTTTGATCTTCAGGAGCTAGCGTAGCATTGTTGTTTTTCTTGTCTTGCAGAAAATTCTGGATCAGGTCCTGCAAAGATAAATCGGACACCGGCGAATGGGGATACTTCACTGACCACTTACTGCATCTTCAAGCTTAACACTTTGCAATAATAATTACTGTATAACTCCTTTAATTTCTTACTTAAGTCATGCTACATGTATGTCATTTGATGTTGTATTTTGCATCCTGTAACCAGAAAAAACGATATTGCAGATATTGTCACCAGGCTTTTATTAGTTGAGGATAATGTATTTTGGCTATTATCTGTTACTGATATGATTCAATCTGACACTAAACAGAGATGCCAGATTATTATTAAATAGGCAATTTTGTAAAAGTAGTCTGCAGGTGGAAATTGCATGAAGTGAAATCTGTGTGAGATCAATTGTGTGCAAACAATAACAAAGCCCACACACCCCACCTACCACCGACAATTGCTCATTACCGACAAATGTGATGAGTTTGTCAGTTGTCAGGTCTTTTTTGCTGGTCAAATAAACATGCAGCAGTCAAACAAAACAGACATAATCATCTAAATTGAGCAATTTCGTTCCTGATGGTTTTCTTCATTGGATATATCTTTTTCCACAAATGTCGCTCAAGGGCTGCAAAATAAACTGAATGTATCCCTCGAACATTCTGCGTTAAAGTTATTTTACAGGAAGTCAAGCCTTGGTGCTTTAACCAGAAAACCTTGGCTGTCATTGTTACTGTACAGTAGGTGTTCATAAAGCAGGAGAGGGAGGCTACGTTTCGTCATTGACTTCACATGTGCCTGGAGGCCTGTGGAACCTCCCATCCGGAACAGTGGAATTTCAAGCTAATCGAACTCAGGAGACTTGCAGCACCCGTGAAAGGGGCCTTTGTCACACAGCTCCAAACCAAAGATGACATTGTAATAAGAGAGGAGACTCCTGAGCACAGCCTGGGACCGCAGACCACATATACCTTGTAAAGGTGACTGACAACTCTGTGGCATTTAAACAGTGCCTGCTGGGATGAGGAGAGAAGACGGGAAGGACATGTGCTGCAGGAAAAACACAGTATATTCAAAGAGTAAATTCTTTGGTGAGTCAGTTGCTTTGGAGTAAATGCAAAATGTTACGTTAAATGTTTAATAAAGGTTAAATTTGCTTACTGCTGTATTTCATTCTCCACTAGGATTAAAGTGATTAATTAAGGCCCTTAGGTGCAGTAAACAGCATCAATAACTACTGACTTTACTCCTGCCTGTGTTGTCAGGTCAGCAAAGCCATTTTGCAAAAGTAATGCGCATGGGAGAAATGTCCTCCTGCCATGTAGACTGGTTCCAGTTGATGAACACATACTGACAGGCAGTCGTATAAGAGGAGACGAGTGCTTGTCAGTCAGCCCGTCTCTCTCTGAGGCATCATGTGTCTGTATGTCACAGCGTTATCTCCGCAGAATGTGTACTATGTGCTCTGAGGCCCCTCAGCTGGCTTCCCAATGGCTTTGACTGACTCAACAGCCCTGAGGGGTAAGACTGATATGGCAGGCTTAGAAAGAAGTGAGCTTACAGTGCTAAATGTGTATGTGCATGTAAAGCCACTCATTACAAGCGTTTAGTCATTAGGCATATCCCTAGCAGGCATACTATTTGAAAATCTAGCCTCAATGACATCATGTGTTTTTATATTTAGGTGTATTAAGGCGTTAAAGCCATCAAAGAATCTCAGGCTGAACAATAGGTAGTCATTTAAAAAGGCAAAACTAGACCTAACGCAGACATAACTCCAGTCAGCTCAGGCAAAGCGATGAAATTCTTCCTCTTTCTCCCTTGCTCTCAGTTTTTCTTTTTCTTTTTTCAGTTTGTAACCTCAGTGGAAATGTGAAGTGAAATGACGCCTGCGCAGAGATACATCTGTGACTTTTTTGCCTGCAGCACACTCACTAAAAAAGATTAGGCTAAACCACACCAGGTAGCCTGTGCAGAACACAGATGGGGCCTGATTTATGGCGGTTTGTGTGCCTGGGCACAGAGACGGAGTGAAACAGGAAGAGGAGATGATAGGTGACTCATATTTTTTAATATAGATTGTTCTGAGAAATTGAATCATGCTAGTTCGGTCAAGGTCTTACATTTATTCCATCAGTCATTACAATTATAAGTTGTGCAGATAGCTAGGTCTATGGTTTAATGCCACATTATTTCAAATCTTACTTCAAAGTTTGCCACGCAAAAAAAAAGACAGAAAACTTATAGGAGCAAATCAGGGCACAACAGGTTTAAAAGGCTTAGTGCTTTAAAAATGTCAGCTCAGAAACCACATGAGTCTGCATTCAAAGATTTTCTTCTACACAACTCATCACAGAATTTCTCACGATCATTTCCAACAAATTACATCCCAAGCGATGCTGTGGTAAAACTCGCTAACCTCCCTTGGGCTCTGCCCTTTTCAGAGCTGAGTTCTGTATCTCACTTGTGTGTATCTCAGCCGCTCTATCATCACATGCTTGAGAAAGTCAGAAAAAAGCCAGTCATCCTAATTCACCCTGGACCCGCTAGATGAAAGAAGACATTTGTCTGTGTTTCAAGGATGAGTAGGAGGACTAAGACTAAATAAGCAAGATCAATATTTGTTGTGTTCATGGAATTAATTGGTTTAAATCTGTCTGCAATTATTTGTCGCTGACATATAAAGAAATGTTTAAATGTGCAGATTACTTCCATGCAGAAGCGGTTGGAGAAAAGCCACATTTGTGTATCCTGGTAACATGCTCTGAGAAATATACAGAAAATCAAACACACTGATCTGGTTTTTATGTTTCCTGTTAAGTTGTGAGAAGCCAGCAAAAGAGAGCTTGAAGATTAATAAGAGGAAGATATGCACAGTAGGTTACATTATATTCTCTGCAAAATCTTTTCTTTACAGCCTACGCACATTCCTTCTCAGAAGCAGACTGTTCAAGACAAGGCTGTCTGATTTCTTTAGACTTGTAACTCAATTCATTAATTTCACAATTTTATGTAAATTCACATTTTTTTATTTATTATAAACTTTCATATTTTTTTTTTCTCCTTATTCGTTTGCTGCTCTAGTTATATTTTTTCCTGAATGACATGTTTTGTCATTGTAAGGCTGGCCATATGTCAATATGTTTTTTTTTCTTTAAATTCACCTACTCTTTGTTGACAACAAGCTAATTAACTATCACAGACACATATAGGGCAAAAAAGAAAGAAAGAAATCTATAACTAACCAGCATCCCCCCCTGCAGAGTTCAGGGGGAAAATCTATGCATTCATTGATTTACATTATCCACTCAAATGTTCTCTGAACAGAAAGCGCAAAAACGTATATGATACTGCTAGTAAATATATTTGCTTATACAGACCAATCCCAGTCCACCAGTAAAACTAACATTGTGTGAGAGAATAGTGCAAACTGCATTAATAAATAATATGTACACCATAAATCTAAGAAAAACATCTGCATGAAGGTATACTACAGAAGTGTGTGTACAATCATGTGCCTGAAAGCTGTTTTCACCTGTCAAAATACGCAGTTATTATACAGTGCTATATATCGCCGATTTTTATAAAAGATTATGCTAATATAATTATTTTTTATATTTTTAATCTCCAGGTTTCACAAGTGGCTATTGCTGCTTAAGAAAAAAAAATGTCCTTGAATGTCCAGAATAGACTTAGTTGAATGAATATGATTTTTATGGGCGAAAATATCAGATAATTTCAGTGGGCTGGCAGCAAACTCATTAAAATTGTTAATGATTGGTTTTGGGGTGAACTCGTTTCGGTTTCTATTGTGAAAAAGTTCAAGAACCACTGGTCAGTGGATTAGGTTTGACTCCGTTATAGGTAAAGGGAAACAAAGAACGACAGCGGTCTTAAACGCAGATAGACTTTAGGACCCAGAGGCGTGTGAAGAGCACATGGCAAACTGTAGCTGCTCTGGGTCTAGAGGGGATGGCAAGTCCGCTTCACTATACTCTCCAACAGTCTCCTCTCATTCTGTCTGTGCTGTCGCTTTCTAACACCCTCCTCACATCAGCAACACCCTTTCCCAGAAACATTTAGCTAACACTTGCCGCTTATCTCTCGTTTCCCCCCTCACCGTTGTCCACCATATGTTTGGTGTTGCATGGAAAAGTTTCTGAGAGCTTCTTTCTTGGAGTGACAGCCTGCCGCATCTTGTTGGGAGTCTGGGTGGTGAAGTCTGTTTTCCTCCCTTTTCTTTTTCCCTCACACTCACTGTGAACTGCTTTGACCCGTATCTCCATCCTGTCACCAGTGTTGAAGCATCTGGTGGTAGCTACGTTAATAACGCAGTCTGACCGGAGCGCTTTTCCTCATTTCACCCTACCGAACCCGGGCATGATGCGAACCTGGAGGCGGCGGAAGAACTTTGGCTTGCTGATCCTCGCTCTCCGAGTCTGGTGCCTGTCCACGGCAGCAAAACATGCTGACAGCATGGTTTACAACATAGAGAGGGGTGAGTGGATATCTTTATTGTGAATATCAGTGCTATCACTCAGCGGGCTCATTGTCATGTACAGCTGCAGATGCTCAGCCACAGTCTGGTAACGTGATTTTCAGTGTTTGCACATTTTATTTATTTCTCTCTTTACAAAAAAAGCCGTTTCCTAGTCTCAAGCTGCGCATTTTACACATAGGCTGGGCAGAAAGGAAATTGGTTTTTTTAACATCAGTTTTCGTACTCAGATGGAAAAACAATAAAAGGAAGTCAGACTGCTGCGGATGAACAGATAGTTTGACATCCAGGAGGATGCAGCTTCATCTTTAGCCTGTAAACATAAACCCAAACAGGATGTCTCCTGAATGAATCAGCCACTGATTATGGGGTAGTCTGTGTATGGGATTGAGCACGTGACACAGTACAAATTTGTGCGTGTGAATGTGTGGATGTAGTAAGAGAAAAGGGAAAGGAACAAAAATAAATGCCACCCACTGTTAAACGTAAGGAGCTATTCAAATATAGATATTTTTGAGGTGATCAAGCATGCTGAAGTGATAAATAAGAAAATACAGGCCATATAAGGTTAAAAGTGCACTACTGAAACAATATGACATGCTACCATCACAGCTGGAGCAGCTAATACAGATGTACAGTGCCAACAAGTCAATAATAAGCTTTCATGAAAGAGAAGTAGAAAGATTCAGCTCATGAGTTGTTTGCTGTCCACATCAGCCAGCTGTCGGATCATTAAAGCTGCCACACACTGGGTTAGTTAAAACAGAAATGCAGAGAGTAAAACAGTTGTAATGGGTTGCGTGAGCATTGAACTAGGGCAGGCTCTTTTGTGGCAGCAGTCAGATACAGTAATGTTGGATATTGACTTCAGCCTCTATGTGAAACGTTTGTCACAGTCTCCCCCCACCTTGGTGGGGGCTCTTGCTACAGCGCTTTTAGTCATACTACAGTTTGTTCGAATGGAGGCAGAGAGGGGTTTTTTGTAGCAGACTCTTTTCATGTTCTCCCAAAATTGGGATAGACTAGGATAGACTTGGTCTATCCTATTAAAAATTATGATATAAACGTGCACAACACAATTTTTGACTTCTGAATTTTTAATTTATTTTGTTATTTATGGTGGTAAAAAGAAGACCAGATGTGCTGTAGTCATGTTCTCCATCCAGTAGCTGTAAAAGTTATGTCTATTCTCAGATTGGTAGCAAAAAAAAAGGAAATAGTGTGAAGGTGTTATACAGCTACAAAGTCCAGAAAGGAAGGATTTAGAAAGGACTGGTTGGGTTGACAAAATATTGACCTTTGACATGGGATACTGATGTTTGCTTCCCACTTGCTAACAGTCACATGAATCTCTTTTAACCAGTGCCTCCCCACTTTAAATGATTATTTTGTTTTCTTTTTTTGTAAAGAAATGTTGTCCTGTTTTGTTGTTCTTATGTGGAAATAACAAATTACGTAGGCGTGCACTGTCAGTAAAAGATTGTCACATTGGCCGGACACAAAAATCATGTCATAAATATCCATTTAGTCAAAATGGTTTGGCTTAACAGTGGCCTAAATCCATCATAACTGGATACTTGACTTAAGCCAGATTTGTGATGAGCCCTGCCAGAATCGGTCAAACTTATGCCAGTGCAGTGATTTCACACTTCTCCAGTGCTAGCCTTAGTGTTGCTGCTGACTGAAACTGACTCAATCCTTTTCTGTACCCCCCCGGAAAAAAAACAACTCTGCGGCTAGTACCTCTGTTGCCAAATCTGGCAGTCCTATATGGATCAGATCAGCACTGACTGACATTCGGCCTTCCTGTGCCAACACTCAGCTGCAATCAGCAACCTGGACAGAGTTCAGAAACTGTTGTGTTGTCATTTAGTGAAATAAGTGATGCATTAGATAATGAGGACATTCTCTGTAGTGGTTTTGAAAGCGCCTGAGCGAGCATGTCCAAGGCTTTGAAGCCAGTAATAATGCATATTTGAAGACATGTGCTACAAATAAAATAGTAATATTCACCAAAAAGTAGGGAAAAAGTGTCAAAAACTTTACATTTAAGTTCCGCAGATTAAAATTAATCTGTTTAAAGGTTTTGTGCTATGAATGCAGTCTTTCATCGTACTGTATAATCATTTGCTTTGTCATACTCCCATCCCCTCTGATTAAAACTTTGACTGACAGCTCAGGAAGTGATTAGAATAGTAACATATTTCATGTTTAAGCTGGGAGATCAGCTTCTTTGTGAAAGTAGCTGTAATTAAATTTTGGTTGCACAGTGTTTAACAAGCCTACAAAGTAAAACTCAGGTTATCAGTAGTTGACTCAGCCTTCTGCTTGTTAGCCTTCGGAAAGCTTGTTTATATTTATGACTGGAATATTGAGTATGTTTGAATAACCATTTGTGTTTTCTTGTGTGAAGTGCTACGGCCCTTCAGGGCTCAGTTGTCTTCTGAACTTTTATAGCAAAAATAAAATAAAAGTCCCATAAGGGCGAGAATCAAGCAGGCCGTGTTTGTAAATCTTTGATGAATCGTTCTGTCTATTGCTTTCTCTCTCTGCCTGACTTTCTTTGTCTCTCGTCTGCATATCAACTGGTTTTCTAAGGGTCTTTTTTCCCCCTTTTTTCCGGGTGGAGGAAACTCAATAAATAATTAGAGACAGAACCAAATGACCTGGATTAGATTTGAGGATATCAGCTGGTCAGACTGACTGCAGCTTCAGACAGAATTAATTAGAAAGATTAAAATGTCTGTTTTGTCTAAACAAACAGACAGCGGGGAGAATAAAACCTACCCCGAGTGCCCTGAAACACACAATAATGTATGCACAGTCTCCTTGGTCTCCGAGGAGCATCGGTCACCTTTCAGAACAGTTTCCTGGGAAGTAGCTCTAGCCCATTCTCCAGTCTGTGGTGGAATGCTGACTATCATCTGTGTGGGGAAAAAAACAACAGGTTTCTGTAAAATCCATTTAGGAAATAACCTCATCCTGGTCTGTCTCTCAAGCCCCTCCATAAGCTGTCACTTGACATTTTGAGGACAGGCTGGCATTGATCTGTTGGCCGCGAGGGAAGGCCACGCACAGTTAGAGTTGTCTCCCTCTGTTAAGCATCATTGGTCATTATAGCCATCAGTGTGATTTAGCTTCCTCCTGCTCTGCCTGTGGATGCTACAGATACATAATAGATATGCTGATGTCATGCGAAGGCAACTTAACACAGCGGTACACAAAAAACAGCAGTCACAAGCGACTCGGAATCGAATATGTATACATGGAATAATTCCTGATTTTATTAAGAAAGAACAGGGTGAAAAAAAAAGAGAATATGTTAGCGATGTATTGTGAAACTGTGAGAAATCTGGGTGTTAGACAGCATCAGAGCTACAGACCACCACCTAAAGAGCTCTGACAAACAGCAGTCAGTCATGTGTGTGATGGATAAGAGTGGGTGCATTTCTCTCCAGTCTGCATTATCCTTTAGAGAACCAAAAAAAAATGACACTGAGACAGGTGAGAAGGCAGTCAGTCACCTACATTTACCGCAGTGATTGGATGTGTCAGACCGCCTGTGATGCTTACATATTTTAGTGGGACACTTTCCCCTGCACTGAAGGAAAAAATCTTTATAGTGGAGCAAAGAGAGGAAGAAAGGAATACTGAATAGGTGCAAAATAGGATGGGAACATGGAGTCGCTCCTGTCACCACTGTGAACAGCGAGCTGTTATTTATGCTAGAATGCAGAAGAATGACAGATTTCTGAGAAGTTTAAACATGCAGTCATCTCTGCTCGCGTCCATAATGAATGCGTGGCTGGCTGGAAGTGCAGCACAAATGGGAAGTGTACAAAAGAGCTAGTGAACATATGATTTCTTGAGAGCAGCGGTTCCTTGTTTGTTTCTTTTCCTTTGACCAACCATCCCTCTGAAGAAATATTAGGTTTCACTCAGATGAGAGAAGCAAGGAAGTGGACTGATGCAACAACATGATTCAGGTTTGAGACTCACGCAGCTGCACAGCAGGCTGAACCATCAGGTTGCCCTACATCAATAATTTCACAACAGAAAGGTCACCACACCTCCATGTCAGCCTGTTTACCTTGAGATGTTGGTTATTGGATCCAGTCATGCTCTTCAGCCAATAGCCGTTATATCCTGAAGCTTTTCACGGAAGGAATTGAAGGTGTTTTGAGAGAATAGTATATGAAGTGAACACTTTTTTTTTAGAGACATGTGAAGCAGAATTGGCTCTGCTTTCTCCACAGAATTTGGGACCTCTTGATCTTTGTCTTATTGGAGTGCCCATACTTGAATTTCCTTCCTTCAAGAACACAAAAGGTTTTGCTGAGTGTTTTGTTTTTGGTAAAAATTTAGCACATGTTGAATCACTGATTACATAATTGCATATTCTGAATGAATACAATCATTCAGTCCTTTCCACACATAGAGTGGGCTGCTTAGGTATATTAATGGCCACCCAAATATGCACTGTGAAATGTCTGAAATGTTATTTTTTTTAATAATCTGAAAGAATTGCATGTTAGACCTGTGATGTTAGGCCTAATGTGTAGCCTGCCTTTCATCTTATAGAAGCTAGGAAAGGCTCCAATTGCCCCATTAGCTGGATAACAGGGTAAAAAAAAATGCATGTGTCATAAGATTAACGCTACATAGAAAGTTATTTTCGGCTGCTTCCTTGTCACAAGTGGTCATCAGAGCAGGTTTCTCTTCATGTTTGTTTTGGGATTTTACACCAGATTTTTGACACAATCGGGAAAACTGGAAACTGAGAGGGATAGCATCCTTGCTCTTATTTTGAAAGGCTGAAATGGCTGCTAAGGAGTTAGCCTTAGCCTTATGTTGCTCAGTCATCGTATTTGTCAGAGCCCCAAAAATATAGCTATAGATAGCAGCTATTTGCTGGTATATGTGGTACCATATATATGCCGTTTATGACAGCCAATAAAGGAAAATTAAAAAATGTCGAAGACACAGAAGAAATAGAATTT